CGGGCAGCGAAATCTTCGAACGAAAGTGGAAGACTCCCGACATCCGCATATGCCTCGGAAGAAAGGGCGGTCGTGCGCACAACCGCTTTCGATGGTGTCGAGGGAGGTGTCGAGTCACCCTCGGCGGCGCCTACTTTCCCTGACGGGGCTTCCCCTTGGTGGGGCAATGTGCAGCATTGTGGATGGTGCTGTTGCACCAAAGGCAGTAACGGTACTTGAGTCTCGTGCGATAAGAATTCGCGGAGAGTCCGTATTGTGCCCAAGGTTCGTCGGCGGCTGATCCGGTGCTCGGTGTAGAGGTGGACTGAGTCTTCGTCTTGTCGCGGCCGTGGTTGTTGCGCGGCCGGCCACCATCCCGAGAAGCTGCCAACACTTCACCCTCGTTTGGTGTTGAAGCCTCGGTAGAAGTAATGCAAGCCACCTTTGGCTTGGGCTGGGTGCCGCTCGTCGTCGCGGAAGATCGGTCGGCGTTGCGGGCTTCGATATTCGTGAGAATGATCCGTGACGCGGTGCTGAAAAGCTTGTCGGATGTGTCGAGTGTCTCTGCAATCTGCGTCAGCGCGTTTTGCAGAGCCGGACACGAGCGCATGATAAACAAGTGCTTAATGGCGAGGAAAGCAAGCGGCAGGTCAGGGGTGGAGGCGAGTCTTTGGAACTCGGTAATCCAGTCCTGACTGAGCAGCGTGTTCTGATGAAGCTTGTTGAGCTTGTCCATCGCTTGCAGGTCGGGCGGCTCCACTTGGAATCGCTTGTGCCAGGCGTCAGTCAACTCCTGCCAAGTGAGCTTGGTGTGCAGTTCCGACACTGCTACGCCGTGGCTGGTCAAGATGTTGTCCAGCCATGCTTGATACGCACCACCAGATCGGTGGTACAAGCACGGATGTCGATCGTTGTTCGGGACATGGTGCATGTCGAKCCTGAGAGTAAACTGGCGCCACCACGGGATCGGTTCCGTCTTAAACTGATCGCAGAAGACGGGAATGTCATCTTGCTTGGGTGGGCGCCGGGAGGATCCGGCGGCGGGCGTCACGGTGGCAGCAGCCTGGACCTGCGTCTCGAACTGCAAGTTCGTTGCTTGCTGCGACGTCCGGAAGTCCTGATGCACACGCTTGATGTTGATGACGTCATCCTCCAAAACTTGCACACGGGTGGTAAGGGTGGAAGGCCCTGCGGCTGCTACAGCAGCTGGCTGTTTCTCCAACGCCTGCAGCCGTGCGAGCATCTGGTCCACTGTCTGCTGCAGGTGAAGGATTTCCTCCTGATGCAGAGAGCAGGTGGCCACGAGGTCGTGGGAGACCTGCGCAAGGGCTGACAGCCCTTTCTCAGTCTCTGGGGCCCCGTCTGCAGATGTCACTTCCACCCAATGTGCGGCCTCATCGCCGATCACGGTCTCCCGCGTGAACACTCCTTCCCGCTGACGTGACCGGTGTTCGGCTGCCGCCTGCAGGTCTGCCTCTTCTTGACGAAGTCGGTCCTATTCCTCCTTCTGTCGCTTGGCCTCCTCCTCTTGTTCGAGCCGACTACGTTCCTTGGCCGCGGCGGCGGCCCTATCGTTGGCCTCCTGAATGAATGTCGCCAGGCGTTCCTCATAGGCCAGGAGGGATTCTCTCGCCTTCCGGTCCATGGCCTTGGTCTGTGATCGAGTGAGCAGTGTCATGCACTGCTGTGCCCGAAGTCTGAAGAGTCACTCGAGGGCCAATTTGATGGACT